GAGTTATTAGTTATTTAAAAAATGTTTCACTAATGGCGTGGCACTGTAGTATAATGTAAGGGATGGGAGGACATGGGCTGTTTGGCTTGACCAGGCCTGGACGGGTCCACTTGGGGGCAGGCACGTTACGTAGGCCGCCAGGTTGGAAAAAAACTCACAATATTTTTAGAGCAAACTTCAACCTGTGCAAATTGTTTTTAGATAACTTGTATATTTGTTATTACATATATAATTATTTCTTTTGTTTTTGACTGTGATGAATTTAATTAATGACTGATGAATAAAATTAATGGTAATTACTGTAGTGTATAGGCCCCTCCACATCCTCCTTATCCCCAGGCAGTCCCTCCCAACACTCCCCTTTCTCCCGGCACCACCCACCCACCCCATCCCCTGCTACACCACGTGCCTCGAGCCACAGCCGTATGGGATTAATACGGTACAGCCCGATGCCTGCCTTTCTGATCCGGACTATTCTCCGCTTGTCCTGCTTACTGTCTGGATTGGGTAACATCAATAGTAAGTTAACCAGCTCAGATTTCTGATCCAGCCAAATATCCGCTACTCGGGCTTCCATGGACATTTTGAATGGATAGGGAGATAACTTTATTCGGCCACAATTTTTGCCGGATTAGGGCGTTTTCTAGATAGGGGGATTCTGGATTAGTGGATTTCTACAATATATATAATATTTTAGTGATTTCAGCTGATATCCTAAAAGGATAGTACTTGCAACAACTGTTTGAGTGAATGTGTGTACCAGTATGTACGGCTGGACCCCCAACAATTCACGGTTTTACTGTAACCACTCGATTATCCGGGATTTGAACATCCAGAAAACGCCCTTATACGGCCAAAATCGTGACTGGATAAAGTTATCTCAATATCCGGCTGAAATGGTCATGGGAGCCAGATAAAAGCCGGTTTAGCCGGATAAAAAATCAGAGCCGGTTAACTTGCTGCCGATGTTACGCTATCTGGACAGTCAGCCGGATAATCATTGAATTGTCCGGATATAAAAGCCATGGGGCGAGCCATACGGTATTAATCCCGTCTGCCTGTGGCTCGAGGCGCATGGTGGAAGAGGGGGGTGGGGTGGTTGGGTGGTGTCGGGAGAGAGGGGAGTGTTGGGAGGGACCACCTGGGGGGGATAAGGGGGATGTGGAGGGTCTCCACATCCCCCTTAGGATGTGGAGGGTCTCCACATCCCACTACATTACAACTGTAGTGTAATGTATACACTACAGTACAGGAATTACCATTAATTTTAGAACAATTCATCATAGCCAAAATCAAAAGAAATACTAGTAATTATGTAATAAAAAATACCATTCAAGTTTCCTAAAAACAATTTGCACAGGCTGAAGTTTCCTTCAAAATATTGTTATTTTTTTTTCCTGCTGGCGGCCTATGTAAAGTGCCTCCTTGCCCCAAGTGGACCCGTCCATGCCTGGTCAAGCCATGTGCTCTCGACTCTCGTGTTATACCACAGTGCCGTGCCTTTAGTAAAATATTTTTTTAAATAACTTTTTTATTTTGATAGTAACTTTGAACATTTTTGGCCAAGACTATGTCTGGTATCAGCATCAATCATTCTAGAGGTGTTAAGAGGAAGAAGATTGTCCTAACAATTAAGGACAAGTTACGTGTTATACAACTTTGTGAAAATGGCCGGTCGACTTCAAGTGTTGCCGAGGAATTTAATATAAGCACTAGTACTGTTTCTGACATAAGGAAACAAAAAGAGAAACTTCTGAAACACATTTCAACCTGTGAAAGTGAAAGTGCAAGGACTAGCAGAGGGTGTGGTAGAAAAACTATGAAAACCTTGACGCAGTTGGATGACGCATGTACAGTTGGATGAGGCTGTGTACAAGTGGTTTGCTCAGCACCGCACAGCTGGCGTAACAATTCGCGGCACAGAAATACAAAATGCTGCAAGCAGGTTTGCAGCAAGCCTTGGAATAAAGGATTTCGAAGCCAGTGAAGGGTGGGTGGCAAGGTTCAAAGGTAGGCACAATATTGTGAAAAGGAAAATTGTCGGTGAAAAATTGAGTGCAGATGAAAGCTGTGTAGAACCATTTAAACAGAAATTAAGAGCATACATTTTGTCAAATAATTTATATTCTTATCAAATTTATAATGCTGATGAAACTGGGCTGTATTGGAGGAGTTTACCAGAAAAAAACTCTAGCAATGAGGAGTGAGGGTTGTGTGCCAGGCCGTAAGGTCAACAAGGACAGGCTCTTGGCCACGATGTGTGCGAATGCTGATGGCACAGACAGAATCACGTGTGCAATTGTTGGCAAATCAAAGAAACCAAGAGCCTTGCAACATGCATGGACAGACTGCCAGTCAAATATTATAACTCGCGAAATGCATGGTTTACACAGGAGATCTTTCTTTCCTGGTTTCATGGCGTGTTCTGCAGGGAAGTTCGTGCCTATCAAGTTAAGAAACTCAAAGTAAGGCCAAGCGAAGTTCGGGCTTTGCTGCTGCTTGATAATGTGCCTGCCCACCCCAAAATTGACACGTTAACCTCACATGATGGCAAGATAACGTGTATGGCTCTTCCTCCTAACACAACCTCTGTCATCCAGCTAGGATGAGTTATCTGAGATCAGGGAGTTATCTGCCACAAAGAGGTTGTACACCAAAAAGATGCTGAAGGAAGTTTTGGTGGTTTTGCCTCTCCCGGAAGATATTGAACTCGGTGTGGATAACAGGGCTAAAAAAAACTTGAGAATTTGAAGAACTATACAGTCAAGGAAGCCATCTATAACTGGGCCAAGGTGTGGAGTGAAGTAAAGGAATTGACTTTGAAAAATTCCTGGATAAAACTCCTCACGTCTACGGTCAGAAACGAGGAGGATGAAGAAATATATTTTGAAGGATTTACAGATGAAATCCATGACATGTTCAGAAATGCCGGCAAAAACTTAGAAAGACAGGATGTGGTTGATTGGCTTGAAAAAGATGCCAATGACCCAGGATATGGTGTGATGAGTGAAGACGAGATTCTCCAGTCTATTACTGGTAAGGTCGACGAAGAGGTGGAGGATGAAGAAGGCAGTGAAGAACTAACACCAATGACCACAAAATACAGTGTACTCATGACCTATGTTGATGGATTAATAAATTTTTCACCCAATTGTGCTCATCCAAAAGTTGGAAACATGTATCAGTACCCGAGACAACCAAAGAGCTGATCATACAACTGGCCAGTGAACACAGAAGGCAAGCTACACTTGATTCTTATATGGTACAAAAGTCAAGCCAAGCGCCTTCAACCAGTGAGGCGTCACAGGCAAGCCAAGCGCCTTCAACCAGTGAGGCGTCACAGGCAAGCCAAGCGCCTTCAACAAGTGAGGCGTCACAGGCAAGCCAAGCGCCTTCAACAAGTGAGGCGTCACAGGCAAGCCAAGCGCCTTCAACAAGTGAGGCGTCACAGGCAAGCCAAGCGCCTTCAACAAGTGAGGCGTCACAGGCAAGCCAAGCGCCTTCAACAAGTGAGGCGTCACAGGCAAGCCAAGCGCCTTCAACAAGTGAGGCGTCACAGGCAAGCCAAGCGCCTTCAACAAGTGAGGCGTCACAGGCAAGCCAAGCACCTTCAACAAGTGAGGCGTCACAGGCAAGCCAAGCGCCTTCAACAAGTGAGGCGTCACAGGCAAGCCAAGCGCCTCAACAAGTGAGGCGTCACAGGCAACCCAAGCGCCTCAACAAGTGAGGAGTCACAGGCAACCCAAGCGCCTCAACAAGTGAGGAGTCACAGGCAACCCAAGCGCCTCAACAAGTGAGGCGTCACAGGCAAGTCAAATGCCTTCAACTAGTGAGGCTTCCACAGCTGGCAGTCAAAACTAACTTTGCTTAATGAACTGTACAGTAATTTTAAGTGTTAATTTAAGTGTTGTGTTAGTATAGGTTACGTAAATTGTCAAGAATTTTTAACTTCAAGATGTGTGGCATCAATCAAGAAGACGAACAACAACAACAACAGTGTAAGTTGAGGTTTCTAGTTGAATATTTAATAATTATATGTGGCAAGGCAATTCAAATTATGTTGTTTGTAGTATAAAAATAGTTGGAAATGGTTAGTTTTGGACTCGTAGGTGAAAAAGTACCATTATCCGGAACACGTGATTATATGGCTGGGGGTTCTTCCCATATAGTCCAGATAATCGAGTGGAGACAGTACTGTTAATTTTATATAGTCCAAGTGAAAACTAGAAACCAAACTTAACATTCCTAAGTCTAGTTATAGTACATGTTTCTACTATATTAGACCTAAGAAAGCACATATTAAGCCTAGGATTGTTTGGACAGGTTAAGTTATGTTCTTCAGTTACATTTCCAAGTTCTGGAATGCCATTTGAACTAATTCACTAACACTGTACAAAATTTGAACTTTTTTTTGTCTGACAGTACATATTGGTAGGTTTGACCAAATTGTTGCTATAAATGCTATCATTTTAGGAGGATGGTCAATGTGATTTATACATTCTTGATTTATATGTTGCCATAATATTATTAGCAAGGTTTTGGATAAAAATCACCCTTGCGTGTTTATGAATTTTGTGTTAAGATTTACACCAAGTCTTTTGCACTCTCCTGAATGCTTTGTCAAGGCCTGAGTGTGTGGTTAGGATGAGACTTGTATCTCAACAACTATCCTTTGTTATCCAATTTTTTTTATCCCATGTTATTAATTCTGCGAGAAGACATTATCCCTACTTATTAGCAAGATTGCTGTGCCTAACTTATTCATAGCTATGATTGCATATTTGTTTTGATAGCATATGGTTATATTATTTTCTTTAATGATAACCGCCATGTTTGTTTTGAATGGTGAAAAATTCATAATAAACTAAATGTGCTGAATATAGCTAAGAAATAAATTTTGTACCTGTCTATGAAAAATGTATTGTAATTCAACTTCATGAAATATGCTCTCTCAATTACTTTGGTTATCATTGTACACTTACCGTCTGATTCATCAACAGAGCATTCAAGTGGAAAGTTGCCAGTCAAGCCAACAGAAAGTCGAGGTTAGTCTTATCATCATTTCTCTGTTCCCTCATCTATGTGTTATAATTTACCTTACATTGCTTGGCAGCTCAATTTTGTATAACATATTAACTCCTTGTGTACAGCTTAATATGTACTATTCTGTAAATGCATATCCACCTATGCACAAAAACAATAATTTTTCTGGGGGGAGCCCCTTCGGCTCCCCAGAGCTTATCCAGGCTGATATGCTAATGTCAGATTTTTGCATCATTCATGTGTATGGAGTTCTATGGGCCTACCAGGGACCATGAGACAGAACCTGGCCCCCCCTCAAAGAGGCAAGGGGAGCAGTGGCCTATAAAGGTAAGTGCCACAAAACAAACCCCTATTCTGGTTAACAACGAAAATTGACAAATGAGTGGACAGAAATCCCCAAAAGAAAAACGAGCAAACAAGCATGATGTTACACGAGTCACACTGCATGTCTGCGCAGTCTCCCCTCCCCGGGAGGGGGAATGGGGAGCCCCAGACCCCCGAGCCGGCGATCCCCGCCTCAGTTCCTCGGCTGATGGTATGGCATGGTCGTGTGGCTCCAGCTCCAGTCTTGTCTCAGTGCTGTGACTTGTTTTCAGTGCTGCTCTTACGGTGGTCATGTGAGCTGGGAGTAGTATTCTCAGGTACTCGGGCTGCATGTGCTTAGGGTCACCTTCCCTGAGTGCCCTGTAAGTACCGCCCTTGGGGCTTGGGGTTGCCTTCCACAAGTCTCCTTGGGTCTACCTCTGTTGGCCTTTTGCTGCTTGGCGTTTGGTCGCTCCGAGTGTTTGGGGGTTTTCCTCCCTTGTTTACCTTGGGGTTAGTGGTAGTTATTGCACTGGTGGGGCGCAGGGTACTGCGTAGCTAGTTTTCATCTATAACAGCGGCCGGCTCTGTTCCCACTGGGTTCGTTGTCCACTTACGTGGTTTTTCTTTTTGTTTTTGCCTGGTGGGGGGGGGGGTCTGCCTTGTGTTTCCCTCCCCTTTATATTAGGATCGTTTGTGTGGTGGTACCCCCTGCTTTGCCTTCACGAGTGGACATGTCAGGTGGGTTCAGCTTTAGCAGTTAGCTTGGTAGTTTGGGGCGTCGGTTAGCAGTGCCCTGCCTGGGATAACCCTTAGCAGACCCAGTCTAGGGGGCCCTGGAAAACCCCGTGGGGGCTCTCAGGTCTGATGGAGGAGACCCTTGCATCTCCTCTCGCTTTGTGCGAGGTTGAGGGTTGCTCTGTCCCCTTGTCTCAGGGTGACTCATTGTTTTTGCCTCCGTCATGCTGCCTGTTGGGTCAGTGACACATTCGACCCCGAGTCCTGCGAGCTTTGTTGCTTGTTCGTGACTCAATTCACCCAGTCTGCTGATGATTTACTTCAGGTGCAGGCAGCTCGCACGTTGCAGGGTAGGTTTAGGTTGTTGGACGTACTCAGGTTGTTACTTCCCCGGACGCCCCGAGGCTGCCCAGCTTTGTGTATAGGGACCCAGACTTCATATAGGGACCTGTCTGGTTCTCGTAAGGGGCAGCGGCCCTTTCGCAGTTCGCCCCATTGACGGGGGGATGAGGGGAAGGCTTGCTGTGTTCGCTCATGCCTGGTCTCATGATTTGTGGGCGTTGGGGGTCGTTTCTCGCGGCATTCTCCAGGGCATTTGGGGCTGACGGAGCAGGTTTCCTCTCCTGCGCTCCATCGGGTCATCTTGGAGTGGGTGTGCTTGGGCGTGGTCGAAACGACGCCGTCCCTCAGGTGGGTTTCCTGCTTGTTTCCAGTTCCAACACAGGACTATGCGGACCTGCGGTTTATTCTGGACTTGTCCCGTCTGAACCCTTGGGTATCTTGCCCCTCGTTTCGGATGACCGCTCTGTTTCAGGTCCGGCTTCTGTTGGAGCCGGGCACTTGGATGATGTCCCCTGGACCTCAAGGATGCGTATTGGCACGTCCCTATTCATTTGGGGTTCCAAGACTGGCTTGGTTTTGTTGTGGGGCGTCAGTGCTACCACTTTTGTTGTCTCCCCTTCGGGTTGAATCTGGCACCTCGGGTGTTCACACGCCTTACCCAGGTCGTGGTGGCCCGTCTGCATCTGTTAGGTGTTCGGTTGTTGACTTACCTCGACGACTGTCTGGTTTGGGCGCCCAGTCGGTCCCCGTGTCTGCTTGCCAGGGATTTGGTGCTTTCCCAGCTCGCCGGGTTCGGGTTCCTGGTGAACTGGTGGAAGTCCCATTTGGTTCCTTCCCAGGTTCGGTCCTGGCTGGGTCTTGTGTGGAACTCTTGGACTGCTTCCTTGTCTCTTTTTCCGGAGTTTCTCCTTCGGCTGCGGTCTCGCCTGTGCCTGTTTCTGGGGGCTCCCGGGTCACCCGGCGGTTGCTTGAGGGTTTGTGCAGGAGCCTGAACTTCGCGATGTTGGTCTACCTGCCGGGTCGGGTTTGGCTTCGTCGGCTGTTCTGGTTCCTTCGGGGATGTCCTTTCCGCTTGTCTTGCGATAGCTGGGTTCGACCCCTGGGGGCCCCTTGAGTCAGCTGCTGCGTCGCCGGCTTCCTCTTCGAGTTTTTCGGGGTTCAGTGCCTTGGCGCCTGCCCGAGCCCTCGCACGATGTGTTCACGAACGCGTCATCTCTAGGCTGGGGCTTTGAGACCAGTGCTCACCAGGCCGGCCAGGGGCGGTTGGGTCCGTCCTTCCGTCGGGTCCACAGCACGGTGTGGGAGTTCGTGACGGTGTATTTTGCACTTCAAAGGGTTTGGGTCGCCCGCGGGTTGATGATCCGGCTCTATTCGGACTGCTCCCCGGTGGTTCATTGCCTGAACCGAGGGGGTTCGATGCGGTCCTTGGCTCTTTGGGGATGGTCGCTTCGGGTGACTCGTCTGCTGAGTTCTCGGGGTTTGGCTCTCCTGGCGAGCCAGGGGGTGTCCAACGTCCTGGCGGACGGACTGTCCAGGTTCGTTCCCCTGTCCACGGAATGGATAGCCAGTGCCAACTCCTTCCATTGGCTCTGCCGGATGTTCGGGCACCTGGAGGAGGACCTCTTTGCGTTGGCGTGGTTGAAGCGTCTTCCGGTTTACGTGGCGTCCTTCGCTGACTGCGAGGCTGTCGGGATCGACGCCTTTCGTCAGGACTGGTCGAGGTGGGGGTTCCTGTACCTCTTTTCCCCAGTTCGGCTGTTGCTCCAGGTCCTGGCTCGCTTGCTTGGAGACTTACCGGGGTCGAGTGGTCCTCTTGGCCCCGTGGTGGCCAGCCCAACTGTGGTTTGAGGCGCTGCTTGCCCGGTGTTCGAACCTGGAGGCTCCATCTGTCAGTGCTAGAGTGTCCTGTCAGCAACACATGTGTGGTGGTCAAGCTCCATCTGTCAGTGCTAGAGTGTGCTGTCAGCAACACATGTGTGGTGGCCAAGCTCCATCTGTCAGTGCTAGAGTGTGCTGTCAGCAACACATGTGTGGTGGCCAAGCTCCATCTGTCAGTGCTAGAGTGTCCTGTCAGCAACACATGTGTGGTGGTCAAGCTCCATCTGTCAGTGCTAGTGTGTGCTGTCAGCAACACATGTGTGGTGGCCAAGCTCCATCTGTCAGTGCTAGAGTGTCCTGTCAGCAACACATGTGTGGTGGCCAAGCTCCATCTGTCAGGGCTAGAGTGTGCTGTCAGCAACACATGTGTGGTGGCCAAGCTCCATCTGTCAGTGCTAGTGTGTGCTGTCAGCAACACATGTGTGGTGGCCAAGCTCCATCTGTCAGTGCTAGAGTGTCCTGTCAGCAACACATGTGTGGTGGCCAAGCTCCATCTGTCAGGGCTAGAGTGTGCTGTCAGCAACACATGTGTGGTGGCCAAGCTCCATCTGTCAGTGCTAGAGTGTCCTGTCAGCAACACATGTGTAGTGGCCAAGCTCCATCTGTCAGTGCTAGAGTGTCCTGTCAGCAACACATGTGTGGCGGCCAAGCTCCATCTGTCAGTGCTAGAGTGTCCTGTCAGCAACACATGTGTGGTGGCCAAGCTCCATCTGTCAGTGCTAGAGTGTGCTGTCAGCAACACATGTGTGGTGGCCAAGCTCCATCTGTCAGTGCTAGAGTGTCCTGTCAGCAACACATGTGTAGTGGCCAAGCTCCATCTGTCAGTGCTAGAGTGTCCTGTCAGCAACACATGTGTGGTGGCCAAGCTCCATCTGTCAGGGCTAGAGTGTCCTGTCAGCAACACATGTGTGGTGGCCAAGCTCCATCTGTCAGGGCTAGAGTGTCCTGTCAGCAACACATGTGTGGTGGCCAAGCTCCATCTGTCAGTGCTAGAGTGTCCTGTCAGCAACACATGTGTGGTGGCCAAGCTCCATCTGTCAGTGCTAGAGTGTCCTGTCAGCAACACATGTGTGGTGGCCAAGCTCCATCTGTCAGTGCTAGAGTGTCCTGTCAGCAACACGTGTGTGGTGGCCAAGCTCCATCTGTCAGGGCTAGTGTGTGCTGTCAGTGACTGTGTGTTGCTCACAGCAACACACGCTGTAGCAACACAATGAATTATGAATTTATGTATATATCAATGAATAAATGATTGTTTCAATAAATATAATAATGAATGAATGAATGAATGTGTGTGTGTATCAATAAGAAGAAACTGCATAAGGTCTAGATCCTGTTGCCCCTATAAATATTCACACTATAAATAGTAGCTGCCTCACTTGGGCCAGTAGGCTCATCTATGAGTTTGTAATAATATGTAGGCCAATAGGCCCATATATGAGTTTGGAAAGGTATAAATAGGAGTTGTCACCTATTTATGTCCTCCCAAACTCATTCATATGGGCCTTATTGGCCCATATGAGGCAGTTTCATTACAACCATATAGAGTTGTGAAAACCATATGAACAGTACTTGGTATTCTTATCTTTACTCTATTCACTCTATTCTTATTCTTAGTTATGATGGAATTTTATACCATAACAGTTACCACTTTGATATACAGAGCACCACTTGGTTCACGAACTTTAGTTATCCGAAACTTCCAGTTTCCCGATTGGGGTTGGGGAGTCATGTTACACGAACT